GTAGGATGAAGTTTTTTCTTTCTTTGCAAAGGCTGCCGAAAACAAACGAACGTTTTAGGAATTGAGTGATTTGTTCGGTACTGACCTTCCCGTCGTTCTTCCGAACGGCAAGCAGGGTTTTGCTTGGAGCGATGGCCCGTTGCTGTCAGCAATGAAAACTGGCAGTTGGGTGCTAATTGACGAGGTAGCTTTTCATGCAGTTATCCATTATAATGCGTAATTATTTCACCAGGTTTAAATGAGTTTTGAGTCATCTTCTGCGTCTAATAACTAGGTGGATTACATAAGTAGGTTACAGTTCCATGGCATCACCGCTCCAAAATTTTCCAATGGCGCGGCCAGCTTAAACGGACCCTAGGTATCTAGGTTTATGCCATGAAGCCGTGAGCTTCGGTTTGATAAAGGCTCGCGCTTATCGGCATATTCCCGTTGGACGATATGATTCTGAAGCACAACATTTATAGAAGAATTTGCCAACAAAGTCTTGTTAAGAGACAATCCGTCCTTATGTGGAATGCAACCGCACCGTAAAACCTTCGTCCTTCTTTCCGTTGAGGACCTAAAACGATCAACTCTGAAGTAGTTTTTAATATTCCGCAGATATCAATAGATTCGAGCAAGCTTCAAAGGATTTTCCCTTTTCGTCCAGTTTTTCACGGTACAGCATAAACCATTAAAATAATGACGTGTTTAAAATTGGCTCAAGATATTTCTAACAAGCTTTTGAGTTTCTGTGCAACACATATGGTTCTGTTTATGACGTTCATTAGCGTTTTTTCTAGATGAATCTGGCCAGTCAGTCCGTACTGGAGGGCCTGAATGCATGTTTCGACCATCGAAAGGAAATCTTTATCCCGGAGTTAGGAAAGACTTTCAAGATCGACGAAGACGCATCACGCTTTTTCGCTTGTCAGAATCCACTCAGCCAAGGCGCCAGTCGCAAAGGCTTACCGCAATCGTTTCTTAATCGTTTTTCAACGGTAGGGCGTCAACTTGTTTCATTTCTTATAATCAGCGCGATGTTTTGAGGTTTTTGTTGAAGAACTGACTGTCGACGATCAGGCGTGGATACTGAGTAAGCTCTATCCGTCGATAGATCATGACGTTTTGTTAGATATGGTAGCGTTTAACGTTGAGGTACAGTATATATTTCGTTGTTTGTGCTGTTTCTTTTAACCACTTTTTGCAGATTTCTGAAAAAGTATGTGTCTTAAGAGAATTCGGTGGCGAAGGCTCTCCGTGGGACTTTAACCTGCGAGATTTGATGCGATGGTGTGAATTGATGGTACGTTTACAGCAACAAACGATTTAGTGAATCGTGTTATTCTGTTTAAATATTTTATTCTAGTTTATTCTTTAGCTTACTCTTTCTGAGCCGTATCACTCTTTCATCGAGCCTTTGTTCTGTATGCGAATGCGACGAGAGTTTGATCGTCAAATGGTAAGATGCAAAGCATTCGCAACCGTTATTCGTGTATTGTGTTAATTTGGATGCATTGTTTTATAATTCGACCAGTAGTTCTTGTTGTACCGTCATAATATGTTTGTTAATATTTATTTTAATTGCCATTTTGAAGTGTTCACAGCAAGTGAACATCTCTGGTTTTCGATGATTGCTACACCTATTCATGTAATGGCTGTCATAGCATGTTTCACTGTTGTCTGAGCAAGTAACGAATGATGTTGTCCGTTCAAAGACATGTCAGATTTATCACAACGTGCGCAAAGCTCTTAACCGATTTTTCCTGGCCTTGACGGTTCGGTGAAAGTTATCATCACTGACGTTGTTGACGCCTGTTTTTCTGCATGAGTTTTTATCTTCCTTTATGTGACGAAATGCTGTCATCATGGTTTCTTTCAGAGCTAATGCAAATCATTCCTGAACCGTTCTGTCTGACCAATCTGTTTCCTTCTATTACGCAAGATGGGTTTGTCTTGAAGTATATACGAAACTCCACCATCACTGTCTACCATTGCCTTATTAGTCCATCGTTTTAGGGTTCGTGACTTTATTAATGCATTTAACCACCTAGTAAGTGAAGTTTTTAGTAAACGGCCCTAATTTAGGAAAGCGTAAAGCTTCACTTGCGTTTTATTACCATCATTATGCTCATGATTTGAGACTTAATTTTGTACTTTTAGTATATGGTAGTCCAGATGCTCTAGCGACCACATTGAATGCTCTTGGTTATCTTAGTTTTGATATGCTGTGCTAGACAGATTGCACATTCTTCAGACAATCTGCTTTTCAGGTACAGTGAACATCACTTTTTCCACCTTAGATCAGCCGACGTAAATTTCTAATTTGAACTGAATGGATGTCTGTATGTTTTACAATTGGCATTCATGATACTATGTTAAAATTGGACTCATTATACTATTATTGTTTGTTTCTGGTTTTCTTGTGG